GGGACGGACGGGAACGGGCGTCGGATCTCTCGAACTCTCCTTCTTTATGCCGAAGAACTCGCCAAGATCTGTCAACCCTCGCTGAAATTCGTGCTCCTTTGACTCCACAATCCGGCAGCACCTCCTCGTCTTGATAATCAATCGCCCCTGAAAAATGGAGGCCTTTGACTCATATTTATAGGCCTCGAATGCGGTTATTTGGATGAGAAGATGAGAACAAGTGATTTGGTCTTATCTTTAGTCAATAATGGCCTAACCACGTTTGTAGATGATATCAAGTCAGTTGGGAACCTCTGGAACTAAAAAGATCTCGAGAAAACCGTTAAAACCGTCGAAATACACATCAGAGGGTCAAAACAGCGCGGCAGACTGGTCTGACCCGCGCTTGCGTGGGTCGGTCAAATCCGACCCGCGCTTGCGTGGGTCGGTCAAATCCGACCCGCGCTTGCGCGGGTCGGATCATCCCGTCCTGCGCTAGCGCGGGTTCGCCGACTTTTTCCCTTTTCTGTTTTCTTTCTTCCGGGACTTATTCTTGTCGCGTATTCGGTCGATTTGACTTGTATGCTTCGTCGCGAGACCGATCGTCAAACGCGCGTTGGTTAATATACGCGTGCCGTCAGATAATCCTCTTAGACTCGGATAACGATATTCGTCGTCTTCTCTCTGTCTCAAGCTGTGTGCGGACACCTATAGGCATTTTTAGACGCCTACACTTAAGACCACAACTTACATTCTGAATAGAGTACCAAGTAAAGCAGTTGCTAAAACACCTTATGAGCTTTGGACTGATCGAAAGCCCAGTTTAAAGCACTTGCATATTTGGGATGTCCAGCTGAGGCAAGGCCTTATAGGCCAAATGAAAAGAAATTAGACTTCAAAACAGTTAGCAGCTACTTTATTGGGTACTTTGAACGCTCTAGGGGCTATAAGTTCTATGATCCCACACTAAGGAATATTTTTGAGACGGGAACAACAACATTCTTTGAGGATGTTGAGTTTGGAGGGAGAAATAAGGTCAGAGTCATTGCTTTTGAGGAGGAATTGGCTTTAGATCCAATCCATACAGTTACTTTTGATAATATTCAGGTTACTATACCTGTTGTTTCTCAAGAAGTAAATCCGGAACCTCAAGATGACAATGTTGAACAACTCCCTGTTCCAGAAGAACAAACTCAATAACCTCAAGAACCAGTGCCATTAAGGAGATCCACGAGAGAAAGGAGAAATGCTATTTAGGATGATTATATTGTATTTCTCCAAGAACATGAGGAAAGTAATGGAATGTTGAAAGATGATCCAATCAACTTCTCTCAGGGCATAAAAAGTTCTAACTCTCAACAGTGGATTGATGCCATGAATGAAGAGTACAAGTCTATACAAGACAATAAGGTTTGGGAACTTGTCCCATTGCTAGAAGGTACAAAACCAATTGGTTGTAAATGGATTTTTAAAACCAAACGGGATGCAAACGGTAATGTGGAGAGGTATAAAGCACGTCTTGTAGCTAAAGGCTTTACTCAAAAGGAAGACATTGATTATACAGAGACTTTCTCTCCGGTTTCATCGAAAGACTCTTTCAGAACAATCATGACACTTGTTGCTCATTATGATATTGAGTTACATCAGATGGATGTTAAGACTGCATTTCTCAATGGCGACATTGATGAGATGATTTATATGGTGCAACCAGAAAACTTTGTGTCAGGAGACCCAAAGAATATGGTTTGCAAATTAAGGAAATCCATCTATGGACTCAAACAAGCTCCTCGTCAATGGTATCATAAGTTTCAACAAATAATTATCTTGTTCGGTTTTGAGATGAACATTGTTGATGACTGTGTATATCACAAGTTCAGTGGGAGTAAGTATATTTTTCTGGTTCTGTATGTCGATGACATATTACTTGCCACTAATGATATAGGCATGTTGCACGAAACCAAGAGATTTCTATCAAAGAATTTTGAGATGAAAGATCTTGGGGACGCCTCTTTTATATTAGGAATCCAGATACATCGAGATCGCTCTCGATGTATACTTGGATTATCACAAAAAAGCTATATCGATAAAGTACTTAAAAGGTTTGGCATGCAAGATTGCAGACCAGGAGATACCCCTGTTGCTAAAGGAGACAAGTTTAGTCTTAATCAGTCCCTAAAGGTAACCTTGAAATTCAGGAAATGCAAAAGATTCCTTATGCTTCGGCTGTAGGAAGTCTAATGTATGCTCAGGTATGTACGCGTCCGGATATTACCTACATTGTTAGGATGTTAGGCAGATATTTAAGCAACCCTGGTATGGATCATTGGATAGCAGTCAAAAGGGTTATGAGGTATCTTCAGAAAACAAAAGATTATATGCTCACATACGAAAAATCAGAACATCTAGAGGTCATTGGGTACTCTGATTCTGATTTTGCTGGATGCCAAGATAGCAGAAAGTCTATATCAGACTACATTTATATGTTAGCAGGAGGAGCTATATCATGGAAAAGTGTTAAACAGACACTCGTAGCTTTCTCCACTGTGGCAGCAGAGTTTGTAGCTTGCTATGAGGCATCAAATCAGGGAATATGGCTGCGAAATTTTGTCACGGGACTGCGCATTCTGGAAAATATAAAAAGACCACTAAGGTTCTATTGTGATAATAAATCTGCAGTAATGTATTCCAATAACAGGAGCTCAACTAAGTCAAAACATATTGACATTAAGTTCCTGGTTGTGAAAGAAAGGGTACAGAGTGGACAGGTAACCATAGAGCACATTGGGACAAACTCCATGATAGCTGATCCTCTTACTAAGGGATTGACACCCAATGTCTTTCATGAGCACACTGCTCATATGGGTGTGGTGTTATTCGAGGATATCATGATTTAGTGGGAGTTTGTAATTGTGGTGCTTTATGTTAGGTTGTATTATCTGATCAGAATAAAGTATTCAGTTAAGACACTCTGTTACATTATGATCTGATCAGAATAAAGTATTCAGTTAAGACACTCTGTTACATTATGTTTGGTTTTGACCTCACTAAGGTAGGACCAGTTGAAAATAGACATGTATTGATCATATTGCATGTAATTTTTACGCTGCACATCCATGATTGATCTATGTCGTTTGATTGTATTGGTATATGTGACCATTGATGGGTCGAGTCACGATAAATATGACGAAGACCACTTTGATCCTATATTGATTAGTCAATGGACGAGATTGTTCGGAAATATCTTTTCAGTGATAGCAATTATGAGCTCATAAGGTTATACATAATTTAAGGAATCATATGGTGCCCAAGTGGGAGATTGTTGGATTTAAATCTAATTAAATCTATTTGTGAGCACATATGATTAATCTGTGCGTATTGCTATTCTTCAGGATAACCCACTAAGGTGATCAATTAATTTGGGTTAATGGGTATTTAAATAAATTATGGGGTTATATTTGTAGATACCAGGTTGTAATTGTAATTTAATGATGAGCTAAATTACAAATGTACAACACCTATATATATGAGGTTATGGTCCCTAATCTAGGGTTAGCCACTCTCATTCTCTTATCCCCATCTAAAGAGATTCATAAGGGAGTAACCCTAAGATTAGAAGATCACCAAACCCTAACTTAAATTCAAGCAATGGATTCAGGTATAAGCTTCTGCTCTTAATGTTTATTCTCCCTGATTTAATCACGATTAACTCTAACAGTTGAGCCTAATTCCACGTGTTTAAAGAACCGGGAGTATCCTTTCTGCAAAATTTACAATATCATATCTTACTTAAACAGCTGAACAGGACCCCCAGTGATGTATAAGCGAAGTTCCGTAGGTCGTATACGTTTTCTTGCTGCGCTCTCAGATTCTTAGTGGGTGGGACTCTTCTTGATGTTCTGCCCCCTCTCTTCTTGAGACCTAAGTTATCCTAACTTGGAAGCTAATCGTGCCATTGAGAAAGCAAAGAATCCTTGCACTTTTCTGTTTATTGTTTAGGACCACTGCCTCTGCCTCAGTTGGGTGAGAGATTGGCCTTTACAGCTAGTGAGAACAATACTTACAATGAACTCAAAGCGAAGGTGAAAGATGGGGGGGCTGCTTTTTTGGCGACTTCGAAGGGGATTTTGTTAGCAGCGCTGGTTGATGTTAGCTCACCCTGAAGTGATGAGATGGGTTTACGAGGTTTATATAGTATTCGGTAATTTTCGATTGCTCATCGTGATTTGCTAAGAAGTTGCGGGACTTTAAGACGGAGATATGAACGGAGCCATAGGATATGTGAATTTAACAGTGATCAAGTGACTGGTCACCATGTAACTGGAATTTACTTTTTTTGTATGTCCAGCAGTAGAAAAAGAAAGATAATGTGCACGGATTAATATTACATGCATGGAAATTGGGGGAAAAGTTGCTCTATATCTGATCTAAGATAGTGGGGAGGATGAATTTATTACCGGTCCTAAAGCATGATTTCTTTTACCGTCTACTTGCCAAAGTTTAACATCTAAACATCAAAACAAAGCAGAGTCATAATTCTTGATGTTTTAGTTTCGGTTTATCTCCGTGTTCTTTACTATCTACCAAGGAAATCCTAGCTGATGCTCTAAAGAGTATTTTGACTACACAGTGCAAGTGCACCTGTAAAACTTTTCAGTGCATTTTGGCCGACAGAAGGGTCTCATGTCGAAATGCAAATATTGCACAATCTTCTTGTTGGACTATATATTTTGTCGTAGCGCCTCCGATTTTTTCACCCCTTTTGCGCTTCTTTGTGATATCTGGAATTTTCTTCGCTTTCCTTTGCTGTACGCCGCGATTTTCTTTGCTCTTCCATTAGCTGGAATTCCCTCTAAACACCATTGTCTTTCTTCCGTAACTTAAAAGAAGTTTCAAGTCTACTCTCTAACTGATTCATAGTAAATCCTAATGGAGGTTATTGCACCGCTAACGTAAAGTTACTAGGGTAAGCAAATGTGCGGTTTGGGCGTTACCGAAAGAACTTTTATCAGATGACAGCCTAATGACATGGATGTTCTACTTCTGTTCTACGTATCATATACACTTTCCAAACAACCGATACAAGCACAAGGAAATTAGATTAAATCATTAAAGTTTTGGTCCTCAGCTGGATTATCTTGCAGGCAACCCATCTTGGACCTTGCTCTCTCTTTCAGATACTTTTCCGCCAATACAACTTAGAACCAACAAATAATGCTCATTTTTGGTACATTTTTCTATTGAAAATCTGTCTTCTCACACTCTGTACATTAATTCTAGGCTCAGCCCAGATCCCTCAATGAGATGAAAGCGGAAAGCCAATACCATGGCGAGTTGTAGGAAAAGTCACAAACATCATACTACTCACAACTCCAATAGCGACAGGCAATGCGCTCAAAACCTGTTCCACATCCTCCGAAGGAATCGGATAGAAACATGACACCACATTCTGATCAAACAAAGCAACCGCAGCAAACACCAATATCGACATAAAAGCATGAACAAAATCTACAAACCTCATCTTGTACCCCGCTGCTTTCTCAGGCGACAATGGCCTATTTCCGTCAATGACCCATAAACCTTTAAACGTAGCCAAACCATAGTGAACTTCTCCATCATCATCTCTGAAGCTATCGCTGAAACTAAGAACAAAGCAAGAGAGGCCACATAACGTGAGAAGGCAGGATGTCATGGTTTTGTTTGCATCGGTGCAGTGGCCTCGATTGCTGAGTGTCGGAGAGAGGAGTTGGAAAGCGAGCACGGAGCCCGTGGGGAGGAGATTTGCGAGATGCGCGGTGCTCTTGAATGTTTGGGTGACGGCCTTTTGTATTAAGGTGGTTTGATCTGTGGTTGGTGATTTTGATTGCTTGACTAATAGAGGGTGAGCTTCTTCATCCTTGGCTTCCATTTTTTTTTTCCTTTCGATTTTTCGTAGCTTTTTTGGTTGTGCCTCTGATTTCTGTTTGGTTGGTTTGAGGTTATAAATGGGGAGGAGATGGTTGGGGTTACTTTGAAGGAACTGAAATGGGTGGAAGGAAAACGTTTTTCGCGAGTGTTGCGGAGGAGTTTGAGGTTTCCTGTTTGAAAATTTAACTGTGCTTGCGTTTATTTTGTAACAGAAGCCGGTTACGAAATTTGGGAGCTTTGGATTTTTTTTTTTTTTGCGGGGTCATTCTGTTATTTTAACAGGGTTTTTGTGCCAATTGTGTGTTTCTGCAGTTAGGGGGTAGAATAAAATGCTGGAAATATATAGAAATAAAAATAACATTAGATTATACATTTTAGAATAAAACACCATGTATCTATCAATAATATGATGCGTTAATCCCGAAACACGTAGGTGAGACAAGTGAGAGATTACTTTGCAGGTAAGATTTTGGATTCGACTCTCATCATATATTTAACTAGAATGCTGCATGACGTTGTGGTAAGATTTAGATAGAATATGTTTTTTATTTCGTTCAAAAAGTTAAGTATCCACAAACCTCAGTTATCCCTTATTATGTAAGCTCGAGAAGCTCACTCATACACTCAATACCAAACTTAACAGTGTTGCCAATTGGCTAGATTCATCCTTGGTACTGAAAGGGAAGCGTAACAGACTAGTCTTTTAAGATTAGGCCCAATCTGCTGCTTATTCAACATTTTTTGAATTCGTCATTGGCCAATCCTCATCATAAATATTCTTTGATCTATTGAGGTTATAGGTTGGAAATTAATGTTGCAATTTGCATCACGCGATCCCTGTCTATTTTTTTAGCCTAACCTTCCATGCAAGAGGCTTACTCCGAAGTCGTGGTGGAGGTTCAGAGCTATTGTTTTATATTCTAACATGTCTTTGCAAGTTGAACGTCTTTTTTATGGACCAAATTCGACTCACTTAGCGGTGTTAGTTTTTTTTTGGAAAATCCACTTTAAATTCATGGTCAATGAGATTGAATATAGGTTGGTCTGATACAATCGTAAATTTCCTAACCATTATACCAACACTACGAAGTTGTGATGATGGGTTAGGGTTATTGTTTTATATTCTAACATGATATATTTCTAAAGACAATGCAAATGAGAATGCTTAGGCTTCAGGCAAAGTCGAATGAGGATGCTTGAGAACTTCCTAAAATAGGAATTAATCATACAATTTAGCTCAGTTATTGGGTTATGAACTTTCAAAAGTTATACCAACTAGCTTATTAGGCAATGCGAGAATATATAAATAGCAAGAGAGAGTATATAAATAGCTATAGTTATCCAATTCTACAAAAGTTTGACACGCTGTTATGGTGTTCCCATTTGCCAAAGTGCAACTCATTGCTAAGTAACAGACATGTGTACTTATGCATGCAATACCCCAATCAAGTTGTCGGCCAGAGACCAGCAAGGATTCTGACTTAGCCAACTTTTCGAGTCGACATTCTTTAATGTCGACTCGAAAGGCGGTATCAGTCGACCCTCATGTCGAAGACGACTCGCCACGAGCCCACTCAACTATTTACTAGATGCCTCGCGAGGACGACTTGAAAGGCGTTACTTCTCGGTGAAGTTAAAGGACAACTTCTGCGTCGAGTCTTTCCCGCTAGCGACATGTCAACATCGCATTTAATCTATGATAGTCGCATCATACCTCTGGCCCTGATAGCCTTCATGACTCATCGGACCACATGGGCACAACCATGCCGCCAATCACTCCTCGTTTAATGCTGAAGTGATCTCTCCCCCACTCGCTAGCCAACACCTATAAAGTAGATGCTGACTCAGCTGTCAGCCCACACTTCGCCACCGTCATCTTGTGCTCTATTGAAGTGACCAATCTACCCTTATACCCTTGGTATAAATACATGTACTATTCGAACATAAGAGGGACTTTTTTTGGATCTATAAATTGGATTTGATCTAATATGACCTGGGATCTTAATCTTCTTGGTCCTTTGATCTCATCTGATCTTTAAGCAGACATATTACACACACAAAAACTCTCACAGTTATTCATTTTTCCCCACTCAAGTTTATTAGCTGACTTGACCGTCGGAGGAACCACGTGAGATCCAAGCCCCGTCCTCTCACGAATTCCTACATGTGCAGGATTTTCCGCAACCCAACTCAAGAACATGACATAAAACCGGGGAAGAAAGCGGCTCCTCATCAATACTGAACAACCACATCCAACCATGGATATAACTGACTCTGTGGTCATTTAACGCTAACAGTTTGGCGCCCACCGTGGGGCTACTTTTTTTTTTAGAAAACATGTCTGGTCCCAAGCATGGGTCTGGCTCTTCAGTTTCACCTTGTAGAACCACATCAGGGCTATGTTACTCGAACTCAGCTTAGAGGGGATCTATGAGAGCTCATATAGAAATCAACACAATCGTGTTCTACAGCCTTAGCAACCATTTTGGGAGCATTAGCAACCATTTTAGGAGTATTTATCGGCTAAGCCATCTATGGGATGAAGGGGCTCCTACCCCCCTCAAAACTTCCTCAAGAGAAGAAGAGCACCATGATTTCTTTTTACAGAGAACTCCAGCTTCTTGATGGCCAAATCATGAGAACATCAGGAGTTTGTCTCCTTCTTCACTAGGATAGCCTCTTTTCTAGAGTCTTCAGCTTTTTAAGATGGTGAAGGATACCGCACAATCCACAAGAACTCAACTGGGGAGACTCCATTCAAGCTAGCTTATGGCGTTGAAGCAGTCACTCTCGTTAAAGTAAGTATGCCGACTATCTGACTACAACACTTTGATGAGGACATGAATTCAAAAGGGCTTCGAGTCGGCCTTGATCTCCTAGACAAGACCCAAGAGAAAGCACTCTGGACCTAGGTCACTAATCAGAAACGGATTGCCCGCTACTATAATAGCAAGATCCGACCGTGGAGATTCAATGCTGGCGACCTTGTCCTTTGTAAAACTGCTTTCGACAAAGACACTCGAAGAGGCAAGTTAGCCCCCAACTGGGAAGGCCCATATACAATCCTAGAAGAGTTGCAATTAGGCACCTATCGACTAAGCGCCCCAGATGGGAGAGTCCTCCAACATCCGTGGAATGTCGAACACTTGTAGCGTTGTTTTCAATAATTTTGTAAATTTCATTTAGTATTAATGGAATTATTATTGAATCTGACTCGATTCCTAATTTGCACTCCCATAGTGCGCAATCTATGTAGGAATTCTAAGCCCTTTGGTATCTTATCAGGATAAACCCAAGGCACACATCATATGGTCAATTCCCACATTCACCTTATGACCATCATGGCTATATTGAAGTCCCAAGCATCTATGTAAGTCCTGGGCACCCAACCTCCAGATTGTCCTTTTGCCATGTTGTCATTAGGGTGGCCCTTAATAGGGCGAAAGACCTAGTCGACTTCAGTAAGTATTAGGCATAACCTCAGGGTTGTACAAGCCCCAAGCCTCTACGTTAGCCATGGGCACCCAACCTCCGGGTTGTTATTTTGTCATATTGCCATTAGGACGGCCCTCGGTAGGGCGAAAGACCTAGTCTACTTCAGCAAGTCCTAGGCACAGCCTCAAGGTTTTAAAAGACCTAGTCGACTTCAGATGTCCTAGGCACAACCTCAGGATTATACAAGCCCCAGGCATCTATGTAAGTCCTGGGCACCCAACCTTTGTGTTGTCCTCTTGCCAAGTCTCAGGCATCTACGTAAGTCCTGGGCACCCAACCTTTGGGTTGTCATTTTGACAAAAATCCCTTGGTGTCATCATGAGTAAACCCAAGGCATGGAGTTCAATTGTTCGGTCGTCTTCAACAAAAAAGACTTAGGCACTTAACTTGCTAGTCCTCATCGACAGAAGACCCAGACATCTCGCCCACAAGCATTGTAAGATGAGCTAGTCTTCTTGACCCTTCAACATTCAGGTTGACACATCACGATCGACTCACATCAATCAACAATTGGTTCTCTTAATCAGAACAAAGCTACAAGCTAATCAAGCAAAAACAAGGAATAAATGAAGATAGACTCCAGAATGAGAGCAAAGTCAATCTTTATTCCAACAAACTTTATTACAAGCTTTATTATAGTATCCATGTCTATTTACAACAAGACATGTCGATATTTACAAAAAAAGAAGAAGAAAAAGAAGATACAAGCCCTCAGGTCTCTCCACCAGATTCGGGAGTAGGGCTTGGGAGGTCCTCGGCGGTAGGGCCAGCAGAGTCAACAGGAGCTTTGACAGTAGAGGAAGTGGGAGGGTCTTCTCAAAGATAATCCCCTGATTCCTCGTCATCATTGTCGTCCAACGCCACATTTAACCACCTCCACTCACTTCGATCTCCTTTAGGAGGTCAAGGCAGCAGGAGATACGAAGGGAGAAGGGGGAGGGGGGTAAAGGCGATCAGCCGTGGGACGAGAGCCATGGGGAGCAACAAGGCTAGGTAGTTGACACCAGCCTTGCAAGCCAAGGACACCTTAGTTTTACCTAAGAGGCCATGACACCAGTCATCGACTATCTTTGCCCTATATTGCTCCAAGTCCAAATGAGCCAGCCGACCCTCCAAGTCCTTGACAATCCTCGCAGACGCATAGTGGGTCGACCGCTCCTCCTCGAGGTCCCGCCTCAGCTGCTCGACTAAGAGATGACTCAATCGAGCGTCCTCCTTGGCCACCACTTTGAGGCACCTCTTGGACTCGACCTCCCCAGCCAAAGCAGTCAGCCATTCGTCTCGGTAGGAAAGCCCTTGCTGCAGACAACCAACCTCTTCCTTCAGCCGGACCACCTCTCTTTAGAGCTCCTCGAGGGAAGCCATCTTCTTGGCGCTCTGGGTTCTGTACTCCCTCAGGAGTCTTTCTTTTTCATCCAGCTCCCTGCGCCAGGCGGCCTCCCTGCTATTCAACTCGGCCTCTAAGGTAGTGACCCTCTTCTCTACCTCTTCCTTGGCCGACCTCTCCTTAACTAGCTCCGCCTACCACTCCTGCGGTGACTCATGCATGTACCTGAGCTGGTCGTACATCTCCTGCTCCACTAGAGCACCTCAAACCAAATAGCTTCAGAGGCTTAAGTGAAGACCGACATTGGGAACTCCCCTCAAGAAC